ACAATGGCAATTACAAATATACTGACGATTATGGCGAACACATGTATTGCTGTGAAGTTTTGTGATTTGGCTTTTCCTGTGCATACTTCTCTTGGACCATGACTATTTAGATTAACATGTCGTTAAAGAAATAACTAGGAGCACTGCGATTTTTACAAGAAAATTGTATACGACACTTTGCAGACGTATCATATGACGGGAAAATTATTTAAAATGAATCGAGTTGCATATGTAACAGTATTCATTTTGTATGATTTATGACTATTTGTATGAAAATATATATAAAATGGTCCTATCTCACCATCTCCACATCTACCTCCACCACTAAAGCTGGAACGTCGCTATAGGACCTATAATATGTCGGTGTGACTTAAAACCCAATTAAACAAACAAACAAACAAACAAAGAAACATTTGTCCCTTATGTCAAAGATACTGCTAAAATTAAGATAATAAGCAGGGCATATCTCTACCATCTTAAAGTTAGGTCAGTTCTTGTCAGGCAAAAATCACACATACCCTAGAATCAAAGTTAGTAATAAGATCAACATATTCTTCAAACTCGCACGCGCTGAATTTCAAACTCCTAGAATGACAGGTTTCCATTGTCTATGTCATTACAAAAAGCACATTCAATTTTTTATAGGAAATATATTCACGATAAAGTTCTGATTTAAATAATAGCGACTTATCATGCTTTTCACAAATAAATGTCAATTCTACATTATTCCAGTCTGATGAAATTTCGTGACCATGAATACACCCTTGGTCCTCATTGTTGCCAAGGGATGTTCCATAACTGTCTAAACCTACGAATTCTATGTCAGGGTAGATCCTTACACATAGGTATTGATATCTTCAAAACGATGTACTGATTTCTTTTTACTAGCGCAGCAACTGTTGCCATAAAAAAGATACATGTCTTCAAAATTGTCACACTTTCCGCATTGGTTTTCAAGCCAACATTCAAAACGACGCAAAAGCACTGATATTGACTTAATTGGTACATGCATTCCATGCTTTGCATTTGCTCAAACGTGAGAAAGATATGGCTGTTTAAACAATCGCGACTCTTAAAGGCATACCTTTTCGGTAAACATTTGGAAACTTTCTTATCATGGAACAGATTAGTAAACTCTGACAAATTTGAATATCCTGTCGGTAAGGCGTGACTTCATACGAATAAGGATGTCATGTCATTCATAATCTTGTTTTAATACGTCTTTCTATAATAATTGTTGTACCAATCCACAGTGAAAATTAGATAGCTTTATAAGACTTATATTATTGAAATAAAGAATTTCAATTTACAATTCAATGTGACGAGAATTCGTTTGAACAAATTAACTGAAACCTTTATTATTGACAGAAAATCATCTTCAACCTTTTCTGATTATAATTATCAAGAATATATTTCTTTCATTTATGTTGATTCTTCTTCTAAAAAATACATTCAATCAAAAGAGGATGACAATAATTGTTTAAGTTTAAGACGTTGCACAAAAATGAATAACATCGCTTTGTTTTAAATAGATATCTGTTTTTAAATATGTAATGTCCGTAATATTAGACTTTCACATATATCTTTTCCGCAATGTCTTTACATGGTTGATATTGACAGTGTTTCGAATCATAACCTTATACCATCAAAGTGGACAAAGACCGAAGAAATACGCATGACTTCTTGTAAATAGCAACGAGATACGCCAGTACCAGTATTGCCCGTATTAATAAAATTACAATAAAAATGTAACAAATTAAAACTTATACATGTATTTCTTAAGAAATAAATCTGAACTTAGAGTTTATTTTGGGTATTTGTCTGGATCCTATATGGTGATCAAATCAGCATGATTTATATTCCATCACGTATGTCACGGTATGTCATATGAACAGTTTTAGGTTTCAGTTAAGCCAAATAAGTCCAGATAAATATAGGGAATTAAGCGTAGTTGTGTATAACAGTGTTCGCCTCTTTTCTATATCTTTAAACTAAAAAAAAAACAATACCTAAAAACCCATGTCTAAAGAAAATGAATATTGAAAATGTTGAGGTGAGCGCAGGAAGATCGCAAGCATCGCCGTAGCATCGCACAATACGCCGACCGACGGAGCGTATTGAGTATGCCGTCACTCGGCGTTCTGATAAGAGTGCTACTACAACACATCAGGAGCGCCGTGAAACCGCAGATGGATCGCCGAATGAACGCCGTGGTTAGCCGCGACGCTTGTACGACATTGTGCTGCGTCTCTATTGCGCTCATATTCCGTGTGTCTTGCCCTTTTACGATGATTTATTTTTCTAAAACGCTCATACTACTACTTTACGGGGCGGCCATTTCGCTCTCAAAGAGATTCTACTTCGTTCGCCTGAAAAACGTGTTGCATTTAATTGTCTTTTTCACCATGGATGATGAACAGCAGCAAACTGGAATATTGCTTGATTGCATAGTTTAATTACTTTAATTGGTCTAAAATAAAAATGAACATCTGATGCAGACGTGAGTTATCGCTGGTATATGAAGCACGATTTCAGCGCAGTGTGAGCGCCGCGAGAGCGCCAAGAGAAAACGTAAATAACGCAGTTGAAGTGCGCCAATTAAAACGCCGTAAGAATGCATTACAACGCCGATGAAGCTCCGTAACAACGCCATGATCGCCGTGAAGTCTCAATGTCATCAAAAAGATCAAAATTTTCTTGCGATCTCGCGGCGAATTGTTAAATTTAACAACGCCGTACAAACGCAGTCTAGTGTGATGGGGCCTTAATGGTGCATCGTTCATGTACTAGTTTAATTAAGATATATCATCTTATCCCCTTTAATGTGATTTAAGAGAAACAAATTATGCTAGATTCCATATTTTATTATCTACAGAGCTTGTAACGTGGGGAAAAAAAACATTGTGAAGAACTTTTGCAAACAAGATTTCAGTTTGTATAATTCATAAAATATATCAATAATGAACATATTACATGCAGCTATTGGAGAGAAATGAAATACTTAAAACTTTCGACTCTTTTTTAACTTAAGGTATTAACAAATATTTATAATTTTACCTTTATTTTGATTGAGCAGAAAGTCATTAGCCTTTGCCACTATTTTAGAGCCAGGCTACATATCCATGCGCCTTTTCCAGACTCACTACCGTTGGCTGACTATATTTTGTCATCTTTTTCACACCAAAGTTGATAAATGACAGTTATAAAAATGCAGTTTTGACAAGTTAATTTAAGAAATCAAACTGGTTATAATCAAGGGATTTCAAAAAGAGGTGATTTAAAATAGAATAAAAGATTATTTTAAAATAAAAAGAAAGTGCCATGATTGGTTACCGATATTAGCGAAGAAGTAATTACAAAAACCCATTAAACAAAACAAAACAACAACAACAACAAAACACACACGCGCACATACACACGCATGCACGCACGCACACACGCACACATTTACAACCTTTCATTAATTATGTGTACAGAAAACTTATTGAAATGTTTTTAAATTTTGAGTATTTTAAACAGCACAATATTTAGAAATTACACAATGTTTCAAATAAGTTTATTGCTTGAACGTTAAATTGATTCTACAAAAACATTTACAGTAGGTGGTCATCAAAGGTCTAGTCTCGGTAATTCGGCAATGTGTTATTTTTTAAAGAGAGACAAAACCGTGTAAACCTAGCCTTATGATCTAAAAAATAAGTTCTTTCTTTGAAACGATGTTGTTGGTAATGGTATTTGAATTTGGTATATAAGAAAATAAAGAAATATGTTTTGAATTAAATGCATAGCTTTCATGCGCATAAAATGGATTGATAAAACAATTTGTTTAAAATATGTCAAAGTAGATAAATCATATATGAATATCAAGTACTTAAAGCAAACAAAATAAATAGCATTATAACAATGTCCTAAATTTCTTTTTGAACTGTATATTGTAAAGTCAAATTATCATGAATAATATATATGACGGCGAAGTCAAAAACAATATTTTATGATTTTTATTAATTTTGACGATGAACGTTTCAAGGCCGGATATCAAGTTTTTCTAGATTAAAAGATTAATACAAGGCAGAGTAGGGCCGGAAGGTGATAATCGGTCCGCAAAATGAATAATGGCCCGAGGGCTTCAGCCCGAGGGCATTATTCATTAAGGGCCGATTATCACCTTCCGGCCCTACTCTGCCGTGTATTAATGTCTTTAATACACTTGGTAGATCTAATAGTAGCATTTTTTAAAAAAAAACAAAACCAAAATACTTTGAAGTAGAGCTTTCGTTGAAATTATTGTCTACACTTCTACTATTCTGTATAGAGATATTTACTGTTTGTGTGTTCAAAGCAGTAACATCTAGAAGCAAGTTTTATTTTCATTTTTTTAATTATTTTGCCGTATTCTTTCTTCAAATTTCAATAGTAACAACAATGTATTTTTACGAAATATGTTTAAGCTCTAATATTCGTGCTGATAACCTACTTTCACTTTTACAGTTAACTGTTTGATGACGTAAAATATGACGTCATTGTTTCAGTTTGTGCACGTGCACATGTTCTGCGGGCTGATAACTAGCTCTCGGCCCCGGGCCACAAACTCATAATAGGTCACGTGACACTCATAATCAGTTGAAATCATAAGCAATTTTGTTACTACATTTATATGTAGTAAATAGTGTATTAAAGAGTTATACAAAATTATTCTTCAGTATTGCACATCTTAGTCAAGATTCCTTAAAATTGGCTTCGTTAAGGATTTTACAAAAAAAATGTAAATGTGAGGAAAGCCTAAAATGATTCGGCACTAAAACACCATAATTACATACTGTCTATATGAACTTTTATACAAATTTACTAAATGTCTATTTATTATCAGTTCAAACATAACATTATAAGTTTAATTACACAATTAGTTCGCAGGAACATTGTGAAGTTCGACATTAGTGCATTAAAACAATTTATGATATATGATTCGATGTTTGAAATTATGTATATATTTAACCAAACCACTATTTTGTGTCGACTGTTGTGTAAGTTGTTCCCTCGCATTCTAACGTGCTGTCTGTTTGTGTTGCCTTGTTCGTGGCTTCCACCAGGAATTTAAGAAAGTTTACATTCAAATCCAGCGCAGATGATAACTGCTTAGTAAATCGACCTTTTCCTAAACCTTGGCCATTAAGACTAGTGAATGTGTTATTCTGATCGCCTGTTTCTTTTGCCTTTCTGACAGCTAGAAACTAGAGATAATTTAACATTTTGTATATGATTGTCTTATTGTAATAGAAGTATATGTAGGAATCAAAATAGCTTCACAGTGGTGCGAAACTCATAGTGCGCGAAACAACTCTAAATAGAAGTAAAATTCTAGATTGTATAAATAAAAGGCAATATATACCTAATTCTTCTTCATTACAATTATGTAATAAATAAAATCGTTCAACTTTAAATTCAGTTGCATTCCAAAATAACATTATCTATAATTGCAGTGATAAACTAATAAACAATGTAAGTATACAATTCTATAACTGTATCTGTTGAAAAAGTAGTTACTTCAAAAAATTATTTTTACAGCAGTACAATAAGCTTGTTTTCTCCATTGAAAATACAAATTTCTTTTTCAAATAATTGAGTTAAGAACGATGATTTATTTTTATTCTATCATGTGTTAATCACACATATTTTTTGCATGTATCTTCGTAGCATATAATAACCTTTTTATGTCGGACTTTAACATACCTTTGGAACAAAAATGATAAGAAGAGTAATTGAAGCAAACACTTGGAGTTGGAGAAATTGAAACACCAGAGACATATCAGGCCCGATAACTGTTATAAGCAGACGACTGAAAGGAAAATATACAAAAGGATTATAATCATAAACGAGGGGCTGCAACATCAACCACATCGCTAAGACTTTCAAAGACGGCTTTCTACAGCCAAATAAGTAAATCAACATCGAAACTTCCTACTTTCATCTAGAAATAGATTGACCGGCGTATGAAATCTATAGATCTAAATGCTGTTTATTAGACGCCTAATCATCAAAGAATTATTATGTAAAAAAAATAAGTTTTTAAACGTAAATATGATACGAATAGTGTATAGGAATTTTATTTAAGTTTATTTAGTATTTTAAAAACAGTTCAATGTTAATTTATTACTTTTTTCAATAGAAATTATTTGAAATTTAAATGGAAATATTAAAATGCAAGGATTTTGACATGTATAATATGGTTGAAAATGAAAATGATAATTATAAACTTACGACATGAATGTCATGAAAATTCCAAGAATAATTGCGTTATATATCGCATACGTCATGAATTTGTCATTGAACTGTGACGGCACTTTTCTTGTTGTGAAGCAAAGGTACACGCCATACAATAGGAGCAGTATTTCAGCTAAAAGATAAGATGTGAGACGAATGTTTTGTTAACTTAAAGTAAACAAATCATTAAATTATTAAAGTTTCGGAGTTTATAATAATTTCATTTTTACCCAACTTGATAGAACGTAACAAATGCCATATACTATTCAGCAGAACATTCAGATAAACCAATTTATATAAACAAAGTTCAAATGGGCATTAAACATTACACAAAATAATATATCATTAGCATACACATAAACATAAATCAACACTGTATTGTTTTATAAATTAAATAAAATAAACAGTTCATTCATAGCACGATTTTTCAAGCTTGTCCATATCAATTATGTTTATACCCTCTAATTATACCCTTAGAAAAATTGAGGAGTTAAAATAAAAGATTGTCTTTAACATTACTTTTCCGGAGAACAAAAATGGTTACAGCAGTTAACACTATTTGTTATAAAAACATAAAAAGGGTCACTTAAAATTGAACAAAACATTAATTAAGGTATTGGTTGTATAATTGTCAATGTTACAAAAGGCATGTAAAGTTTTAACTAATTATCAAAATTTATTATGTTCTTGGCTCAAATACAAAATAAAACGTTTGAATAGATATTAACGATCTGAGTGAAATAGTTCCATCAGATATAGAACCATTCCAAAAGTCATCTGTTAAAAACGTTTTACTTATTCCATCTTCATGTAACTTTATAGGTGATAAGAAAAAACATTGTCAATTATTTTGGAATAATATCTAAAAGAAAACAAAAACAATTAAAAACCAAAATATGAAAAAAATGGATTATTGAAACAGGTACATGAAATAGTTTTGATGAAATAGAAATAGGAAAACCCGTCAGATTTTGTCATCTATCTTTTGGGCATACATTGTATATCCTTAAGAATATTATTAAGATATAATTCTTAAAATTTGTTAAAAAAATGTATATATGCATATACTTTTAGTTAATTTAGGCTTAAATGACCACATATATAATTTGCTTTTACCTGAAATAACGGCATATTCCATTGGTCCATAGTTGCAAATATAAAAGAGAAGATCATCAGATGTCTTAATTTTTTGTATTACTGGTGGTTTACCTACAGTCCATGCGGCAAGAACTATAACAACAAAACCCATCATAAGACCTAGCCGTTGATAAAGAGCCTTATCTGGAAGGTAAACTCTCTTCCCAGCACCCACAGTAAATATTGCAGAAATTCTGTAATACATCATATAACTGTACTTATCTAGAATGCAGTTGAAATGTTGGTTGTTACAATGCAAGGCAAGGTTAATGCCAATTTGGAATCCGTTCAATATAATTAAAAATTTCCATGGAAATAATCTTTAGATTGATCATTTTTAATTGAAATTGCCGTGTCATTTTAGTGTAAAAACATTCTAAAAAGAAGTTTTCATTGGAAGAGTTTCCATTGGAAAAAAATTCAAGAGCAAATACATATTCGTGTAGTTGAATATAATCTGCTCTGTTCGTGAGGATGAATCTCTAACGCCCTTAGCACCTGTTTAAGCAGTAGATATCACAGGTCTGTATGAACAATATTGAAATCAATGGTCCCGAAGGACAAATGAAGTAAAACAAGGCTAATATATAGGAATATATAATTTATTAACGGTAAAAATCTGTTCTGAGGAAGTGGAAGACCGATAGCAAAATAAAAAAAACAAATATTATGTATTTAAAATTGCAAACTCGGTTTGATCGAAGATTTTTATTGGGATCATGCAATATTGCTTCCTAGCACCGACTAGCGGATTTCAATCTGAAACTATTAGAATCTATGATTCCGAAGACATGAAAATGTATACAAGTGTATTTTAATAAAACAGACACTGTAAATTTGTGATTCCTTTTGATGCAATTTTGTTCAAACTCTTTTAAAATATAAAAATAAAATGCTTGCTGTTAATAAACACCCATTGTACAACCGATTCTTTAGTTCAAATAAGGACAATTAAATTAACATGGTTACAGGAAAGCGGCAAATTATCAAAGCTTTCATCAACCGCTTATTGCTTATAAACTTTCATTAAATTATTTTTGCTCACCAATAAACGCATTAAAACATTAATTTGCTAATTTATTATAGAAAATATTTCAGGAAATATTCCCGTATTGAACCTGGTCATTTATAAAATAATGAATTATTCCCACCAGATTTCATGGTGACAGGTGGATAACAACTCAGACGGAATTTGCTCACATTTACTAATGGATTCCCAGTCGCAAATATATTTCCTAAGCAAAGTATAATTTTGTTTTTGTTTTAATGTTATATATGCATGCTTATGAATTCTTTTCTTTCTTTTTTTCTACTCGATTGCAATTTTGACTGCAAAATTATGTGTGTATGGATGAATGCTGATTAAAGTATAGATGAAGTTTCGGGAAGATTTTTGTATAATTTTAAACATAACGAAAAAACCTAAAAAACATATAACTCTTAACACAAGTCGACACATAAAGGAAAGTTACATCAGAACATTTTCAGATTTATGCTGCTTATTTTTCAAAGTATCATAAATTTATAACACTTATTAGTAAACATTGTGTGTATGAGTAGAAATTACTTAAGAGTAAATATAAATAGAAATCGACCTTACTTTGTTAGTAATAGGGAGATAATTCGAACATATATTGGATAGACATACGCAAATAGTCTAACTGATAATGAATGCTTTCCTCAAAGTTTCTGTTTTATTTTTTATTGTTTTAAAATTGTTTATTTAAAGAAATATTATGTATTTAGCACGATACATAAAAATGGATAATATTATACATTTTAAATAGTATAAATATTAATATTGTCTACACATTCAATATTTCAAACATTTTCAAAATCCCGTTTTGTTTATAATAATAATAATCCTTTGTTAGGAAAAGGCCTTTAAAATATTTTATGCTCTCTGTTCTGATCATTTTTCAGCATTGAATTATGTTATATATTATTGTATGTAAATCTTGCAAATTTTGTTTGTGCAAAATGTTTGAAGAAAATGAGCCACGCCATGACAAATCCAACCTAGTGCGTTTGCGACCAGCATGGATTCAGACCAGCCTGCGCATCCGCGCATTCTGATCAGGATCCATGCTGTTCGCTCTCAATTTCTCTACTAGTTATAGGGTTTGTAAGCGAGCAGCATGGATCCTGATCAGACTGCTAGGATGCGCATGCTGGTCTGGATCTATGCTGGTGGCAAAAGCACTATGTTGGTTTTGCCATGACGCGGCTAAAATATGTATAAACTAAATAGTATAAAAAAGTTGCGAGAATAAATACCTCCATGTCTTTACAACCAGAGATCCATACAAAATAAAGAAACCGATATGCTGCGGCCAGATGCGTATTGTGCATACCAAAACAGTTGATGTAAAATAAGTTGTAAAAAACTGAAATTAAAAAGCAAATGTTACCGCGTATTTAAGCAATTAATTGAAAAAATATCGATAAATCCACTTTGGAACCGCACCCAGGTCTGTACCGGCGACCTGAAAATATTTTTGGTGAAAATTTTATATGAGCCCAATCTACTTCAAAAGCAAACAAAATGACTACTAAGTTAAAAATAGTTTCCTCTTTTAAATTGCTTGTTATTTAATATATTCATAAATGTAAATGAAAAGATATACCTGTGAACAAACCAAAATACCACCAACGCACATTAGCTCGAGAAACATAGGACTTGCAGATTTGATTACCTGAAATCAATGAAGATATTTTAAGAAATATGCATTAAAGATAAATAAAAAGAAACGATTGGATTTCAAATGTTAAAAGAAACTTTAAAAAGATGCAATTTTTAATATTTTAATGGCATAGTAATAAACAGGGAAAGAACATCAAAAATCAAAGTTGCCAACAGTTAACAGAAAAATACGAAATGCATTACATCATTTCTAGTTATATTTTTGAAATAAAAGTTAATTATAGACAGCTCTTAGATTACATTACATGAAATACTCCCATAGAAATCTTAAAAAACTACTACAAAACACTTTGAAGAATTATTTTATTATGCATATTTTCTTTTTTTTTAAAGTTTTGATAATGTAATGTGAGTTTTTTTTTGATACTTATAACTGGGGAAAATATGGTTACTGAAATTAAATAAAAGATGCCAAATGAAAAGACTTGCTCGACTATTTTTAAAGCAAACGGGCATACCTAAGAAAAAAGTTGTGGTTATGATTATTGATCACACCAAGAATTGTATGTCCAAATCTTATAAATCATATAACGTGCAAATTCATTAAAGGGGAAATAAGATATTAACAGAAAAGTGTCAAAAGTTGTTGCTAAACAGATAAAATTCATGTAACATTTTACATTAAAGTTCAAAAAGGTTACAACATTGCGTCAGAGTAAACTACAATTTAATGTGTAATATCGTTGATGAAAGGGAAGATTTATTTAAATTAAATGAAGTTAACCCCTAGACAGTTAGATTAGTAAAATAAAATAGAGTGAGCAAGTACTGTATCAATTTTGGTATTCTCATTAGTAGTAGAAAAGATTAAAATGAAATCACATTTTCTTGTGACATGTAAAGTTCAAAGAAAATGTATCGTTAAGCACATGTGATGCGAGTGATAATAAATATAATAAATTTATGTATATCCCTTGGGTAGAAAGTTAAAATGAAAAACTTAAGATGAAAAGAATAAATGAAGATGAGGAGAATAATTCTTAGAATATAGGAGCCTTTTGATATTTGTTGTTGATGATGATATTGTATTTAATCCCCTAACAAACTTTCAAGTAGAAATCTGAACGCTAAAGTAGTTACCGTGTTGAGCTTAAAATGGAAGACCCCTTGTGTCGAAACATATCTATGTAATAAAAGTTTAATGTCCACTAAGTTTTAATATTTTTCTTTGTAGTCAAGCGTGCAATATTATTATACTGAATGCGCTACTGCATCAACTTAACTTAATACATTTTATATTTAGCAGATGTTTCACATGTCATAAAAAAGTACATAAATGTCAAAACGTTACATTCACATTTCTTGAATTAAAAAATGACCAGTATGAATTTCTAAAACATTCGTTATATAACAGTTACCTTGTAGAGGTTAAGGTCGTTGACTTCAACCCACTTGCCCCTCACCGCTGTGGGTTCGAATACTTTCATGTGAGGAATCTATCCAGCTAGCTTACGAAACGTCGGTGGTTCTACTCAGGTGCCATTTCGTGTCTGAAATAATGTACGGAAGGGCACCTGAGGTCTTCCTCCACCAGTAAAGCTGGAACGTCGCCATATGACCTATACTGTGTCGATGTGACGTAAAAACAATCAAACAAACAAATAAAGTTACCTTGTTATCTTTGTAAAAGTAAGTTACAATGGCAACGGACACGATACCGATTACAGTTAACGATGTACAAGCTAAAAGAATGATTTTCAGATGAATTTCATATTCTTGCACACATGGAGAACTGTCAACACACGTTTCACATCCGGTTGCGCACGCAGCGCACTGGAACATTCCCGATTTGACTTCTCCAAACCTTCGGACATAATCATCTAATTCTGTTCCAGAGTACGCTTTAGTTCCATTTGTTTTCCGAGGAAAATAATATCCATCGTTACAATGGCAATTATAAGCACCTGTCACAAAACCTTGCCCATTTATAGCGACACACTAAAAATAGAAAAGAAGATATAGACAATGAAAGTTTGAAATATTCTACAAACTTCAAATATTACTTTTTGGAAGTTACGCAAACTTACTAAGAAAGCTAATTTTCATACCTTTAACCAATGAAACGGGTTCTTTAAGCGGTCAAATTTTTTTAAAAGGGTTAACATTTTATATAAATATTTATACAACAGGAACAAAAAACTATTCATACAAAATGAAATATGCATTTTTCTAGCGTTTTTTGTATTGTGATATTGTAAATTATTGTCATTTTAGCTATAATATAGTGATTTGT